CCCCCCGCCCCGCCCCAATCCTGCTCTTAGACTCCCTCAGGCATAGAGTAGCACACAGGCTGGGAGCTGGAGTGCTGGGGTTCAGGGTCAGCACTTCATGGTTCTGGGACGTCACTGGGCTTTACTGTGCCTCAGTTTCATCTCTGATGGGGGCATAATCACTCACCTCATGGCACCCTGTTGGGAATTCAATGAGTTAATGTGCATAAAGGGCTTAGAACGATGCCTAGCATAGAGCAGGTGCTCACTAGACCTTAGCAGCCCTTATTCTTCATTATGATTGCTAGCCTGGGCCCAGGCTCGGGTAGCGCCTCCTCTTCCAGAAAGCCTTCCTGGCCTGCTCTGGCCCAGGGACCTCTGTTGCTGACCTCAGAATCCCCCCCATTCTGATCACTTAGCACAATAATAATGTGGATCAGTCACCTACTCGGTGCCAAGTGTTTTCCGTACCTCATCTCATTTAAGCCTCTGTGGGGCAGGATTACGATCGCTTTTTACTGAGAGGACACTGAAGCCTTAGGCAGCTGGGGAGCTTGGGCCCAGGGCCTAGGGGGTGAGGATGGGAGGCCAGAGCCCCAAGGCCATGGCGCCCTACGAAGCCACTGCTGTTTGCAGTGAGGTGGGGGTGGGAGTGGTTCCCCACTTGACAGAGCTCACTCAGCCTGGCTAATGGGGAAGGAGTGGGTGGGGATGATGGTGACTTCTGGTGTGTGGGGCAACTGGAAGCCATTGAGGGCACCAGGTGGCCTTGGTCCTAAACCCTGAGGGATCTGCAGCCAGGCTCTCACCCTCCCTGGGCCTCAGTTTCCCCACCCGTACCCTGTGGCAGGGGCAGCGTGCCCTGGCTGGTGTGGCTGCCCATCCGTGAGCTGCGGTAGGGTACCACTGCAAGATACAGCCCTTGTCCTGGCGATTTCCCAGCCCGTGTGAGGGCCAGCGGCTCCTGCGATCAGTCTAGGCCAGGCAGGGGGAAGGCAGGGAGGCTCCACAGCCACAGGGAGACCCCTTGGCCAGTTGCCTTCTGCGGGCGATCGTGACATGCGGGCCTGCCTGGCTGTTCTGGGGCCTTAGGGCACGGGGTCTGGCCGTACAGTGGCGAGGGCAGTGGACCCTCCCTGTCACCTTTTGGGGTTGTCCCCCATAAGACCACTGCCTGGGTGATAGAGTGAGCACTGGGCCAGGAGCCAGGAGGCCTAGGTGTGCAGAGATGGGCTATGTCACCTCTCTTGGCTCTGGTGCCCACCACGTGGTCTGTGAGGACGGTGAGCCGCATGGACACCGCCACGCTGGGCGTTTCGTTGCAGACCGAGAACGCATCGGGCAGGACTCGGCATATGAGCAGGAGGGGAAGGTGCAGTTTGTGATTGATGCCGTGTACGCCATGGGCCACGCGCTGCACGCCATGCACCGTGACCTGTGTCCCGGCCGCGTGGGGCTCTGCCCGCGCATGGACCCCGTGGACGGCACCCAGCTGCTCAAGTACATCCGCAACGTCAACTTCTCAGGTGGCTGCCCTGGGCCGTGCACTGGAAGGGGTCCTGGGGTTCCTTGTGGGGGAGGAGGCGGGGGTCTCCTCAGCTATTGCCAGGGGGTTGGAACCATGCAGGGGCCTCTCCAGAGGTGTCTCTGCCCTGGGCTCCTGATCCTCCCTGCTCCTTGGTGAGAGCTCAGCAAAGATACGGAGTGTGTAACATTCACTGGCCCCCACAGGCATCGCGGGGAACCCCGTGACCTTCAATGAGAACGGAGATGCCCCTGGCCGCTACGACATCTACCAGTACCAGTTGCGCAATGGCTCTGCTGAGTACAAGGTCATCGGCTCCTGGACGGACCACCTGCACCTCAGAGTACGTGCGTGGCGGGAGGGCAGGGAGGGGCCCCGGGAGGGATGGACAGAGTCACTCATGCCACCCAACCCCTGGGAGGGAAGAGCAAGGGGAAGCAGCCGCTGATTAGCCGGGACTAGCCCTGACTCTCCATTTGCTGCTGCCAAGCCTGGGCTTTCTTCCGTGCCCCACTGCAGGCCTGGAAGGGCCCTGGGTGCCACCCCTGCCTGAAACAGTGGGACTTCTGCTGTATGCCCTTTCCCTTGGCCTGGGGCCTTCCTGCCTGCTGCCTGCTGGCGGGGCGAGGGGGGGGACTCTGGATAATCCAGACAACTCACCCTGGAGGGAAGGGCTCAGTGGGTGCAGGGAAGCCAGGTGAGGGGGGGGAGGGCTGCATCAGGACGAAGGAGGACAGTGTCTCAAGGCAAAGGGCACAGTCAGGTGGGGTTTCCGGTGGGGGGTAGAAGGCTGTTTGAGAGTGTTTCCTAAAGCTGTCAAACGATACCTGGAAGGTCATCATTTTTCTGGGTATTTTGGGCAGCTGAGGGGGGGCGTCTTCTCCTGAATCTTCTTAGCTACATTTTTCCCAGCCCCTGATTGTGCCAGGGATGTGGCGGCTTTCCCTCCCTGGCCTCAGTGTACCTAGCTGTGACTAGAGCCATGTGTTTAGAGAGAAAGGACCTGTGGTTCATTCCCCGAGGAAATGCCAGTGGACGTGGCCCCTGCCTTGCAAGGTGAAGGGGTGAGCCGTGCTCGGGGTGGGCACGGTATGACAGCCGGATGGAAGGACCAGTGGGACACAGGAGGCTCAGGCCCGTGTCTGGCCTCAGCTACCCCTGTTCCAGATCTTGGGAGAGTGGCATCATGTTCCTGCTGTCCCCTGTTGTAAGAATCTCTTCGGCGACGAGCCCCTCGAGCTCCTCAAAGCTCTTCCTGCCCATGATCCCATTTAGCTCCGACAATCTTCTGAGTCAGGGGAAGTATCTCCACAAGCCCATCCTGAGGGGTGTTCCAGAGGCCACATGGCAGGGGGTGGGGGGGCAGAGCCCATTCCTATGGTGATGCTCCTTGGGTGGCTGAACGGAGACAAACAGAACAGAGCAGGTGGGAGCACTTGGCAAACGGGGCGATACCCCAAATGGAGGCATGTCTCTTTTGGGTGCAGTGGGAGGAGCAGTGGGGGGGCCAGGGATTCAGTTCACTACCAGCAGCAGCGGCTCATCCTTCCTGAGCGGCTGCTGTGTGCAGCGACTGTGGTAAGCATGTGACCCTACTGTATGGACGGCAGCCCTGTGAGGTGAGGCAGGCACTGTTCTGATCCCATTCTACAGCTGTGGTAAGTGAAGGCAGGGCCTCGGTGTGGGGTGGGCCGTGGCCTCCTCCTCCCTGATGATACAAGGCCCCTCGGCCAGCGTGGAGTTGGGGCGGGGGGAAGGTTAGGGGGAAGAGGACTTCGACGATCACAGCCTCCCCGCCTTCTGAGGGCTCAGTTTGGGCTGTGCTGTGGGGGCCACAGAGCAGGCCGGCCTGGGGTGGGGGGCCCCTAGGAAGAGACTTCACCCTGCCCGCCACCGTCTTCCTCCAGGGTCTGACAGTGAGGTGGCCTCTCATGGCCTCTGTCATAGATTCCACAGAGAGTCCCCGGGTCCCCTGTGTGCCAGCCCCGGGCTGGGGGCTAGACACGCGGCAGGGAACATGCACAGAGCCCCTGCCCTCGTGGGGCTGACCTTCCGGGGAAACAGTCAGAATTTCCGTGGTGCCTTCCAAATGGAAGTCACACTAAGTAGCAAAGGGCAAAGTGGCCTCATATCTGCTGTCCTTGGATCGGGTGGGAAAACAAAGGCTCAGGGAGGTTGAGGTGTTCGCTGCAGGGCTCACAGCCAGCTAGCAGCACACCTGTGATCCCAGGATTTGCCCGCATCCGAGGCTGTCCACGGGAGCCAGAGTTTTCTGGAACAGCCACCATCGCCCTGTGTCCCTCTGTGGTCTCATAGCTCCAGCGCATGGGCTTGTCCTACCTCATTGTTCCTGCGGGGACAGTGGCCCCGGTTGTTGCTGTGCTCTTGGGCTCCTGGGGGACCACATGGCCCTGTCAAGCCCAGAGCCACAGGCCAAGCTCCTTCCCTGAGCTTTTCCTCCCGCCTCCCATGAGGCCATCTTTGGCCCCCCTCCTCTTTTCCTCAGCTCTGAAACCATCCCCTTGCCCAGCTGGTTATTCCTTCTCTGGCCTCCAGGACCGGCACAGAGGAGCACCTTTCTGGCCAGGCCCGCTGCTCGCTAAGTGTCAAGTCCTCCTATGAGCCACTCTATTTGGAACAGATGCTTTGAATATGGCTCCCAAGTGTAGTCCAACTCCCTTTGCTCAAGGCCTGGGGCTCTTCTGGGCCTCTCGCTTACTTACCAGACTTTTCTGAAACATTGAACTCGGTAGGGTGTGCCAACATGGGTTCCTTTGCTCACAGCGATTGTGTCTTCGGAGACACATAATGGCGACTAGCACTAATTTAGAGCAAGATGTAAAGAAACTCTAACCCCCGGGCACAGATTCTGTATCCTCTGCGCAAACTTCCGTTCACTGCCGTCTGCTGAGCGCAGCTTCCTGTGCCGCCCAGAGGAGGCCCCGTGGGCTGAGCCGTGGGGCAGCGCATCTCCCAGCAAGCCCATAAGTCACTTGCACGGTCTGGTTACAGCTCAGATCCTGAGACAGTAGGTCTGGGGTGGGCCCCAAGGTGGCACTTCCAACAAGCTCCTGGGTGATGCTGATGCTGGTCTGGGGTCAGGGCTCCTGAGTTCTCTCTGCTTCCCCGTGGGACTCCCGGTTCTCATTGCTGTGCTCTGGGCTCAGTGTCTCCATACGGTCCTTAAGGGTTTTGGATTTGCTCAGGATGCCTCATGGGGGTCAGCCGTGTCTGCATCATGCGGGTGGGCTTATTTAAATCCAGCTGTTGGGTCCAGCGGGTCATGGCTGGGGTGCCAGCCAGTGGGGTGGCCCAGGGCACCGGGTGGCATAGCCTGAGGCCAGCTCCCCTGTGCTGTCATTGCCAGATAGAGCGGATGCACTGGCCGGGGAGTGGGCAGCAGCTGCCCCGCTCCATCTGCAGCCTGCCCTGCCAGCCGGGCGAGCGGAAGAAGACCGTGAAGGGCATGCCCTGCTGCTGGCACTGTGAGCCCTGCACGGGGTACCAGTATCAGGTGGACCGCTATACCTGTAAGACCTGCCCGTATGACATGCGGCCCACAGAGAACCGCACGGGCTGCCGGCCCATCCCCATCATCAAGCTGGAGTGGGACTCGCCCTGGGCCGTGCTGCCCCTCTTCCTGGCCGTGGTGGGCATCGCCGCCACGCTCTTCGTGGTGGTCACCTTCGTGCGCTACAACGACACGCCCATCGTCAAGGCCTCGGGCCGCGAGCTGAGCTACGTGCTGCTGGCCGGCATCTTCCTGTGCTACGCCACCACCTTCCTCATGATCGCCGAGCCCGACCTGGGGACCTGCTCTCTGCGCCGGATCTTCCTGGGGCTAGGCATGAGCATCAGCTATGCGGCCCTGCTCACCAAGACCAACCGCATCTACCGCATCTTCGAGCAAGGCAAGCGGTCGGTCAGTGCCCCGCGCTTCATCAGCCCTGCCTCGCAGCTGGCCATCACCTTCAGCCTCATCTCCCTGCAGCTGCTCGGCATCTGCGTGTGGTTTGTGGTGGACCCCTCCCACTCGGTGGTGGACTTCCAGGACCAGCGGACGCTCGACCCCCGCTTTGCCAGGGGCGTGCTCAAGTGTGACATCTCGGACCTGTCGCTCATCTGCCTGCTGGGCTACAGCATGCTGCTCATGGTCACGTGCACCGTGTACGCCATCAAAACGCGCGGTGTGCCCGAGACCTTCAACGAGGCCAAGCCCATTGGCTTCACCATGTACACCACCTGCATCGTCTGGCTCGCCTTCATCCCCATTTTCTTTGGCACTTCGCAGTCGGCAGACAAGGTGAGTGGTGGGGCTGGGGGGGGGGGGTGGGGTGGGGGAGTGAGGGCCCTGAGCTGGGGGTAGCCTTGGGGGCTCGCTGGCCTTTCCCCCTGCTCTGGAGATGTCTTCTTCCACACCTCACTGCCTCCTCTGTCTCCAGTCTGTTCTCCAGCTTCGGGGTTGTCTCTCCTCTCTCCCACCCGTTCTCTTTTCCGGCTTCCCCTCCCCACCCCTCTCATCTCCCTCCTTCTGTCCTCCTTTTCTCTTTCCCTCCCTCTCTCCTCTCTGTCAGCCTTCACTCTCTTCTAGACTCTTCCCCACCTCTCTCCCTACCCAGCCCCATCTTCCCCACCATCCACTCCTCTCTTCCTCATCCTCTCTCTGCCCCTCTCTCTGTCCTCGCAGGATCCCCATGGGTCCCTGGATGGGGGATGGACCGCACTCACTCCTTCTCTCCTCGTCCCCAAGCCTCCGAAGCCCGGGAGCCTGGGGTGTCAGCTGAGGGTCCTCTCCTCCAGCAGCCAGAGCTGCAGAGGGGCTGCCTCCTGCTGGCTCTGTCAGGCCATCCTGTGGGCCTGGACATAGTTCAGGGCCCCGTGCACTCTGCCCACATCCCAGCCCCAGCACTGCCTGGCTTCTGCAGGGTTTTATCTTGAAGGATTGAGGGTCACTGAAGCCAGAGGCTAGAGACTGGGGAGGGGGGTTGTGGGGACCAAGGACCCCAGCTCCTCGTCCGAGCTCCATATCTGGGATCCTGGGCAAACCAGCTGGCTTCTCTGCCTCAGTTTCTTCATCAGCATATTGGGACCATGATCCTTCCCTTGCAGTCCTTAAGGTGTTATAACAATCACATGGCCTGATGGGTGTGGAAGCTGTTTACCCACTGCGGGGCAGCTGGGGCTGAGGAACGCAGAGGAGGGTGATGGCGACAGGGGTCAGAAAGATGGCAAGGCAGATGGTGGAGGACCCAGAGGCTGTGGGAAGGATGCTGGTTCTACTGTCAGCGAGAAGGGAGCCACTGCGGGGTTCTGAGCAGCGAGGGACATGATGTAGTGCAGGTTTAGATGGAGCCCTCTGGCTGCTGGGTGGAGCCCTGAGGAAGGCAAGCCAGGAGCGGGATGGCCAATGTGGAGGTGACTGCAGTGAGCCCAACAAGGGGCTGCTGGGGCCAGGGGTGATGGGAAGTGGGGGCTCCTCAATGTGTCTGCAGGGGGCGCTGGCCGGATTTGGGATGGATTGCGTGTGGGGCAAGAAGTGCAGAGGAGAGTCAAGGATGACTCTGGTTTTTGGTGTGAGGATCGGAAGGAAGGAATGTCTGCACCCGAAGGTGGGGAAGACCACAGAGGAGCCAGTTTGGGGGCCGAGATGGAGCAGTCATTTGGACGTGCTGAGTTCGGGCTGCCCATTAGAGGTCCGCGTGCTGCTGTTGAGCCGACAGCTGATTATACAGGGCTGGGGTTCAGGGCCGAGGGCCGGGCTGGAACTGGAGCTGGGGAAGTCGTCAGCCCATGGCTGGCATTTGAAGCCAGAGCCTGCCCAGGCGTGAGTTACTAGGGATGCCTGGCTTTCAGTGAGGCTGCTGCCAAAGCCATGATGGAGGGGGTGCTTGTCATGTGCCTGACACTCTACCTACTGGCCAGCAGGCTCCACAGTAGCAGGGTAGGGTGGATAGCACCATCCCCATTTACAGATGAGGACACAGAGACACAGAGAGGCCAAGTGACTTGTTTGAGATCACAGAGCCAGTAGGTGGCATGGCTGAACTTGACCCTGCTGTGCCTAACTCAGGAGCCCCCCATCCCAAGCCCGGTCCACACTGCCCCCCTGCAGCCCTGGGACACCTTCCTGCCCTGGGGCCTCCTTGGTAGGTGCCACCTCTGCTCCAACAGCTCCTCGAGGGCAGGAGCTGTGCCCTCCATCCTGAAACCCTTGGCCTGGCCCAGGGAGGCCTGTGGCCTGCCTTCCAAAGGTGGCCTGTGGGCTGAGGGGCTCTGAGAAGCAAACCTTGGGGTTGGCAGTGAGTGCCCTGAGATCAGAGACCAGGTTTGGCTCCAGGTCACCCCACACACCTGAGCCAAAGCAGCTACCAGGCCCAGCTCTCACTGTGAGCCAGGTCTCCTGCCGCCCCCGGCCCTCCCTGCTGAGGACAGGCGCAGGCAGAAACTCCATGCCCCGCAGTGCCCAGGGGGCCCACAGAGCCAGCAGGGGAAGCCACCCCCCACTCCAGGAAGCTGGCAGCTTGAGAAACTTCCTTCAGCAGCACCAGCAGGCTCCTTCCCCTGCCTCCTCAGGGAGTAAAGGTGCATGGCTTGAAGGCAGACAACATGGCAGCTGAGCCCCTCACTCTGCCTTCCCATCGTTTCCTCAGGGGGGACCCTGCCCTCCCAGGGGGTGGGACCCTCCCCTGCCTCCGGCTGCTGAGGCCCCACCCTCCCGCTCAGCCCCCCACATCTCTCCAGGCCATCCTGCCTGCCTCGATTTCTCCCTTTTTAGGAGGCTCCCCTCAGTATGGATGATGAAAAGGAGCCTCTGAAATGATCTCTCCTGAAGCCCAGAGAGGGGCAGAGACTTACTTGCCTGGGGTTACACAGCAGGCTAGCCTCCCAGCCACAGGTGGTACTGAGACCCTGCTCTGCCCCTGATGGCAGGGCGGTGGGAGGGTGGTGGGGGGGGGTGGGGGGGGGACATGGGACATGCCCCTCCCCTCTGGGCTTCTGCGCGAGGAGGGGGCGGGGGATGAGCTCTGAAGTCCCTGCTGGGTCAGACTACCTGACTTCCTAGAGGCTCAGGCAGCCCAGGGGCTGAATCTGTGCCCGGTCCTGCCAGCACTAGGAACACGCCTGGAGAGAGTGGGGTGGGGCTGTGGTGGGGAGTTGGTGTGGTCAGTGGCTGGGTGGTGTGTGGATCTGTGTGCAGGTGGGTGCGTGTGTGCACTCTGGGTGGGGATGGGCAGCTGTGTACGCTGAGAGCTTCATGGCTGCTGGTATGTGTGGGTGTGCAGAGGAGTTGTGTGTATGTGCAGATGTGTGCGTGTGCGGTTGTATGTGCGTATTCAGGTATGTGTGCAGATGTGGGTGGATGCCTCTGTGTGTGTGCATGTGAGTGTACCCAGGTGCATGAGTGTGTGTGTGTGCACGTGTGCCCCCAGGTGTGAGTCTGAGTCGAGTATGAGCATACAGCTGTGAGTTCAGGCGTGTGTGTGTGAATGCAGAGATGCATGTGTCTATGGGCGTGCATGTCTGTGGGCATGTGGGTGTGTCCAGGTGTGTGTGCACACGCGCTTGCAGGGGCTTGGCGGCACCCAGTTCCCCCCAGCGTGCAGGTGGCGGTGCGGAGTGAAGCTGTCTGTGCTGCCCGGGTGAGCAGGCGGATGGGTTTCCCCACGCTAGCCTGGATTTCCAGGGGTTATCACGGCCGCCGTGTGGCATTACTCTGAGCCATCTGGAGCGTGCTTTCTCTGCCGCGTGGGGTTCCCGCTCAGCTGCACTTGGGCAGGACCTAGCCACAGAGGCTGGCCAGGTGGTGGGTACGTTCATTTATCTGATTTGTACAGATTCCGAGCTTCTCAGTAGCCACGGGGTCCCTTGGACCCTCTGCCCACCAGACCTCGCACGGAAACAGGAAACTCCTCATCTCCCTCCACAGTGGCTGCTTTCTGCGCCCTTTGCCCCACCCACACCCATCAGCAGCTCTGACAACGTCTTCACTCTGGGGAGCAGTCACTTGTGAGGCTAAGGCAGGATTTCTTGCAGAGGACAGAGTGTAGCCAGGGCCTGACAAGAAAGGGGAGCAGGAGTTCAGGCACCTCCGTCTGGAAGATGGGTTGGCTGGAAAACAAGACGAAATCAGATCCTTGAGGTCACCTCTCACCCCCACCCCCGCCCCGTCTTTGAGACCTGCATCTGTGTCTGGGCCCCATCCCTGCGGAGGAGGGGGTGCCTGCTGGGTTCTACAGGTTCTAGAGGACCGCTGCTTCTTTGATAGAATCAGCATGCTACCACCTCCTGGTGACAGCGTGTGCCTTCACACAGGGGGCTCCGGGACAATGCCTGAGCGGGTGGGAGGGTGGGAATTCCAGACCCCAGAGCAAGGAGAGGGATTGGGGGTGTGCAAGCACAAGTGGGTCTGGAAGGGCAGGGCCCCAGTGGGTGGGGGCAGCTCTGCTTAGGTTTGATCGGTTTACACCCCATCTTGTATTTTGTTTGTGAAAAGGCTCCTAGGCTGAAAAGCAAAATAGAACACCAAGGATTGTACTCTTTTCCGTGCTCACAGCTGGCTCCATGGTTTTCAGGGCCTTGTGCAAAAAGAAAGTGAAGGCCCTTGTTCAAAAATGATTCAGGATTCAAGATGGTGGCAGCAGGGCATGAAAGCAAGCGTGTGTGCCTAGGGCTCTGCCTCTGCCTGTGTTAGTGGAGGGGCCTAGCATCCCACAGAGGGCCCAGGCAGAGTGGCATCTGGCCCCCAACACAGAGCTGTGTCCACCGCAGGGCTCACTCTGTCCAGAGAGGGGGCCTCTATCCCTGGTTCCACCTACTCTATATGGGCCCCACCCCCAATCAACAAGGTGGGGGCAGAGGGCCTAAGATGGATGTCTGACTTAGAAACGTGACGCTGATACCCAAGAACCCCCATTGTGAGAGGGGAGACGGCCCTTGCCCTCAGGAAGCCCCCAATCTAATGAACGAGACGTACTCTCACCCAGGGAGCTCCCAGTCCAATGGTGAAGATCCAGAAAACAAGCCTCATCTTGATTAGCCCAAAACTGCATTATTTTCCCCAACGGTGTGGAGCCTGGCCCCCCCACCCCCCACCACCATTAGCCCCATCTCAGGGGGTGGGAGAGGTAGCCAGCACCCTCCCACTGGCCAGTCATGCTGGGAAGCAGCACTGTTACACAAGAGAGTGTGGCTTGTGTGTGAGGACAGGGGATGACTGTGTCCAGAGGGCTGTGTGCTCCCTGGGGGCCAGGCTCTCATTTCCCTGGGCCTGTGACATTTTCTGAACAGTGACAAATGAAACTGCCTCTCCACGCTCCCAGGCCCCTTCCCCATAGTACTGTGCAAGCTCACAGAGCTTCACAGTCTGGGTTTGGCTGACCTCGTGGGTTGGGAGAGGTAGCAGCTATCATCCCATTGCACTGATGAGAAAACTGAGGGTCAGAGAGGGCTTGAGACTTGCTCAGGGTCACATCGCTCTTTCCTTTCAGACCCTAGGGCTTCTCCAGCCTCTCTCTCAAGGGTAGCTGGAACGATAGCCTTCAGATCCAGGTCATGAAGCGTTTCCGGAGAAGGGCAGGAGATGGGGTAGATTATGAGAATGGGTGTCAGAGGGGGTCGGATAGAGCTGGGGGTCAGGGAGAGCTTCCTGGGGGAGGTGACACATCAGCCAGGCCCCAGGGGAGGGGGCCCAGGCCTAGAAACGTCAGATTTGGGGGGCAGAGCATTTCCTGCCTTCCCCATGCCCAGACCTGGGGACTACAGCCTGGGCCTCCTCTGGCCCCACGCAGGCTGAGGGGGGCTGGAGGGACAGCGGAGGCCTGGAGAGCTGGGAAGGACGGAGGAGGTGGGGAGGGGACCCCAGGGGGCAGTGGGAACTGTCAGGCCCTGCCTGGAAGGCCCCACTGTTGAAGAATGGATTATCCGACACCCAGATTAACGGACTTTCATTTTGCTCAACATCTGTCACCGTTAGTGCTGGCGAGCGAGCGTGAAATGAGCTTTGACTGTGCTGCCATCGCTGTATCTTGCTGGGCACGGCGGCTCCCGTGCCAGTGGCCTGCTCTGCACAGGGTGGCAGTGGGGGGGCGCGGTCACTGGATGGGGGCCTGGTCAAGGGGCTGCGGCACGGCCACTGCGAGTTACCCCAAGGCACCAACAGACGTTCATCTGACTCCCAGCCCTGTGCAGGGGGCTGCTCCTGGGAGGGTCAGCTGTGGTCCCCTGAGGTCCCTTCCTTAGGGGTGCTCCCCCCACATAGCATGTAGCAGTGGGGAACACTTCCGTGCACGTACCATGGGCCGGACATTGTACATACGATCACCATTTACCAAGGCACTTCATGCTCACAGCGGCCCTATGAGGTAGGTACTATAATAGCATGCCCACGTGGGGAAACCGAGGCACAGGGTGGGGCTTGTCCAGAGTCCTACAGCTGGAAGTGGTGGAGTCAGGATTTGAATCCAGAGAGTCGGGTCTAAAGTCCCAACTGGACACCACGACTCCCTTCAGCCCGAAGTCAGTGGGACACGGGGCAGGGCTCCCGGCGTCTGTCCCCCTGTGTCTGTCTCTGGGGTCGGGACCGTGAGGCCGGGGCAGAGCCCTCTCTGACGGCGCCCCTGGCCTACCTCCAGCTGTACATCCAGACGACGACGCTGACGGTCTCGGTGAGTCTGAGCGCCTCGGTGTCCCTGGGGATGCTCTACATGCCCAAGGTCTACATCATCCTCTTCCACCCGGAGCAGAATGTGCCCAAGCGCAAGCGCAGCCTCAAAGCCGTCGTCACCGCCGCCACCATGTCCAACAAGTTCACGCAGAAGGGCAGCTTCCGGCCCAATGGTGAGGCCAAGTCTGAGCTCTGTGAGAACCTCGAGACCCCAGGTGAGTGCTCGGCCCCGCCCCTTTCCCCTGGGCCTCGCCCAGGCCCTCCTCCTTCTTGGAGAAGGTCAGGCCCCCCACCCGGGACCCTGGCCACGCCCCTCCCTGAGCCCGTCCTCTGGGGGTCCTGGGAGAACCCCGAGGCCGCGGGTGAGTGGGAGTTCCGGGAGAACTTTGAGACGCCAGGTTAGTGTCCCTCTGCCCCGCCCCATCCTGGTAACCAGGAGAGAACCTCAAGGTCCCACCCCACTAGCCTTAGCTGCACCCTTCCAGGGATCTCTGACCACCAAGGGTGAGGCCATGGGGGCACCTGGATCATGTAGGGTGACGGGGGACTCTGGGATTTCTCTGCCCTGGCGCGCACATCTGGGCCTGTGCCCTTTCAGTCCCTCTGGGAAAAGGGGTTGTCGGAGGGCCCCTGCCTTCTGGCTCTTTAGTAACTTGGGCACAGAGGCTCTGCGGCCAGCCTGGCCACCGCCTACCAGGGCCCTGAGAGATGGGGACTCAGGAGATGGGTCCCCAGGATGGGTAAGGGAGGAAGTGGGTTGGACTGAGGAGGGCCTCCAGAGGCCTCAGTTCTCAGGTAGCTGGGTGTTCCCAAGGGATTGTCCAAGGAGACCTCCGCAGTAGAGGGTCATGCTCTTCGAGGGACCTCGGCATCTGAGGGGCAGGCCCAAGGTCCGCACCTGGGCAGGAATGTGCATGGGAGCGAGCGAGGCCTCCATCTTTGCCAGCTCCTCTGGTCCCCCTGCAGCCAGCCCTCTGAGGAGAAGAGATGGAGAGGAGAGACGGGCTGGGCAAGCGAGGGACAGGTGGGGCCTCCGGGGCACCAGTTGTAGTGGTGACCATTTCTTGAGCCCTGATCGTGTGCCACATTGCCACGTGACCTTGAAAGGCAGGTTTTTATCATCTGTGTAATACAGATGAGGAAAGGGAGGCTTAGCAAGGTTGGGGACTCACCCGGGTCACACAGCCAGCAGGTGGCTGGGCTGGACTTGACCTCCACGGTGGTATCCCTACTGCTTCCTCGGAGAGACGGAGGCCTCTCTGGGCTGAGCCGTGGGGTCTCCTGCCTGTGGGGTGGGCCTCCAGGGGCCTCCCAGCTGCTCCGGCGGGGGGGAGAGATGGAGGGGTGGCTGTGGTCACCCCCACCCCTCTGAGACCTTGGCTCCCTCCTTGGACATCGTGCAAGTGTCCAAATAGTTTAACTGGCAGCTTCTCCTGCCTCCCCCGCTCTCTGAAAGTCCTGGGGGCTCCCATTGGTGGGGAAGGAGAAGAGCCTCCCCCAGCCCCCACCCCCGGGGAGACTGTCAGTCCCCATGGGACCTGGGAGTTAGCACTCAGCTTCTTCCCTCTTGTCCTGGGAGAAAGGCCAGAAATGGACATTGTTGATGGCAGCGGGAGGGATATGGGCTAGACTACAGGAGGGACTGGAGCACAGGTTCCAGAGAGGAGGCCCTCTGTCACCCACCAGGAGGTCAGGAGAACAGGAGACCAAGTCTCCCTGGTGTGTTTCGGCTGGGGTAGCACCTCTCACAGGCTCCCCACCTCGTGGCCCTGGGGAAGCATCTTCCCTTCCTTTCTCAGCATGGCTCCCATGTGTTGAGAGACTGCCATCTGTGGAAAGAAGGGAAGTCCCTTCCTACATCCAGACAGGATTTTTCACTCCCAAAGCCCTCTCCCTTGTTGAGTGATCTTCACAGCAGTCCTGTGAGGCCGGGGTAGGGCTAGAGGTTTGATTCCCGCTGAGGCCCAGAGAGGGTGAGTGACTCTCCTGAGGTCACACAGCAAGGTGGTGGCTGGCTGGACCCACACAGTGTCTTTCCCTTGACCTCGACTTCACATGGCCTCCCCATCTCTGTGTAGAGCAGTGCAGGTGGTTTCTGACATGCCCCCTTCTTTGATGTGCTGAAGATAAGGTGTTGCCCCCCTCCCCCCATCTTCTGCCAGATGACCTCTGGTTCCAATCCTGCTCCTCCTCCCAGAGCTTCCCTGGACCTACAGCCCTGGGACTCCCTTCAGGCCCCCCACCTGGGCCCTCCACTCTGAGATGGGAAGGGGCATTGTCCTCCCAGGACTCCCCACCTCTGGCCTTTTGTGTCTAGATCGGCAGAAACCCCAAATGCAGCCCCTCACCAGACCCTTCTGTCCTGAGCAGGGGCCCCTCGCTGCTCCCCCCCACACTCCTGCCTTCCGTTTTCCTCCTTCCCATGGAGATTTACCCGTCCCGGGTTTCACCCTCTGTGCCTTACTCTGCTGGTGCAGGAGCAGGTGTGTCCAGTGAGCTCTGCTCCAGGGCTCATCCAAGTGGGGCATTAGCCACCATCATGGTGCTGTCACTGGCCAGAGGGAACCAGAGGGCAGGGCCTTTCCGGACACCTCTGATGGCTCCTCTCTGACATGGCTTCTTCTGCCTCTGTTGAGGTTGGTCCCATGGGGACAGGGTAGAATTACCACCCCTTCCCACCCCACCCCTCCACCAGACAAGGAGCTGAACGGAGGCCCGGGGAAGGGAGACACAGTGTTCCCAGCCCCGCTTCCTGCAAGGGAAGGATGAGAGCTGTTTGCCCCCCTACCCTGCTGTGGGAGCCAGAAACCAGGGCCCCACACCCCCACTGTCCCTTAGCTCGGTGACAGCAGGAGATGTGGAGGTGCCGGGTGGGAACCAGGTGATTAATTCTGGGGATGCCAGACTGAGGGGGTGTGAGCAGGAAGAGTGGGGAGCTGTCACTCCTGTGGAGCAGGACATTTTTCACTCTGTCACTGGCAGGTCACATATCTTTACACAAACAACAGAATAAATAATTCAGGGGCCCGATTGTGGGCAGACTGGGCACAGAGACCCAGGGCAGCAAATGGGGGCTGTCAGCTCGTGCTTGCCACCGCCCAGCTAATTGTTATCTGAGGCAGCAGGGACTAAAAACCAGCAAGGGCCTATCACCGGCAAGGGACGGGTTCGGGGCCCTTGGCTCATACCCTCCGTCCCTCCCTTCGGGCTGAGGATGCCCCTGGAGCGTCACTCTCCCCACCCTGTCCTAATTGCTATAGTATTTCAGCCCTGCCCCTTTGCCCACCTCTTCGCAGGGCTTAAAGAGTATTTCCCTCCACCCTGTGGCTGAGAGCCACCCATTTTACAGATGAGGGAATCGAGGCTCTGAGAGGTTCAATTTGTCAGAAGGGCTTCTTGGCAGGTGCTAAGATCCCCTGTACTGGGGAGGGTAGGACTGGACCTGAAGTCTCCTGACTCCTGGCCACAGTGTTTCCTTTTGAGCTTCACCATTAGCTCCCGGGGGCCCGGGCAGACTCACTGCTCCCATTTTCCAGATGGTGAGACCGAAGCTCCGCTGAAGGACTCTGGGGCCCCTGGCTTGTAGCTGAGGGCCGAATGCGCTTCCAGGTTCTGGAACCCAAGGATTGGATTTTCTATTGGAGACAGCTCTGGTCTTAGAGGGACGGCAGGGCCCAACTGTCCCTCACCTCCCCGCCACTTTCCCTCCTCCCGCCGCCTTGGTGCCCCTGGCCCAGGTGCCCGTTTCTCTACAGCTGGTGAAGGTTTGGCTGTTCCTGCTGCAGTTTTCCTTCACCTCTGAGCCACAGCTGCTGATGAGTTTATAGGTTTGGAAACTCAATTTTATCAGTTCACCCAGGGGGTGATGGAGCCCTGGGGAACTGATTCTCACCGGCCTGGCCTGCAGCTCGTGATTCACAGAGCCGGCTGCCGCCTCTTTTTCTGACCGTGTGGGAGAGAGCGGGGTAGAGACGTGGGGCTGGGGGAGCCCCTCAGGGAAAGAAGTCTGGGCCAAAGGGCCACCGCTCTCATGCCCCAGGTGGGGAAACGGAGGCCTAGCAGGGCAGCGAGGAGCTGCCAGAGGTCACAGAGGGAGGGAGTTAAGAGGCTCCTGTCCCCAGAGCGCTCATCTGCATACCCTCCCACCTCCCTTTCAGCACCTCTGCCTTCGTGGCCCAGCTCCTTTGCCCAAGTGTGCCCAGCCCAGGCCCCTCTGGGGTGCTGCCCCCTCAAAATAGCCCTGTCCATGGCCCTTCTTCCCTCGTGGTCAGTCAGCACGCTGGAGGCACATGGGTCATTTTAGAAACGAAGCTGGCAAGCCTTGGCACGCCATAAGCCTCCTCCTGAAGTCAGGGCCCCGTTTCCTCCCATTGTACCTGTCCAGGTGCCACCTAAGACTTGCCACTTCCAGGCTATGGCCCAGCCAAGTGACTGTTCATGTTCTGCTTGAGTATTTCCGCTGACAGGAAGCTGAATTACCACATAAGGCCACCCCCTGCACTCAGGAGAAAGTTCTTCCTTTAGCTCCCCTGCACTCCACCCCTCATGCCGCCCCGCTGGTCCTACGGGGAACCCCTCTGCTCACCCCACCCCCCACAAGTTTGCTTCTGGCCACACTTGATGACCCTCTGGGAGGGGGACCTAGCAATCCTGCCTATGTCGGTGGGCTTCCAGCTACACTGATGTGGTGGGTGGGCAGGATTGGGGACACGGGTTTCTTCCCTCTTGCCCCATCAGCTCCCAGAGGGTTGTGCTGAGGCTGGTCGCTCTCAGTGTCTGTTCTGTCCACGGAAGGCAGAAGAGGGGAAGTATGGGAGCAGCAGTTTTAATCAAATGACATGCAAGCGGCACACAGCCCTTCCACTCACATGTCATTAGCAGGAATGTCATTGAGCAGAGAGTGTGGGAAATGTGGTCTTAACTCGGCAGTCATGGGCACAGGGTAAAGAGGATCGGAGGGTCCAGTGTGCAGCCCGCCACACTGCTCCCCCTCCATGTCCTTCACTCTGGGCCAGCCACCCTGGCCGAGCCTGGCAGAGGCACCCCTTTTCTGGGGGACAGGCCCTTGATGGAGTGTCAGGGCAGCTGTGCGCCCAAGGGCACCATGACCGTGTCCCACCCGGCCACCTCTGCGCACCAGCACTCAGCTCCCACCCCAGGCAGCAATTCGGACCTTCATTACTCTCCACTGAGCAGTCCCAGGCTGTGGAGGGAGACCCTGGATCCAGACAGGGCCTCATTTGTCACAGGAGGGTGGCCCTTATCTGGCCTTGTCACTAGGCTGCCGTGAGGCCTAAACCCCAGCCTGGCAGAGGTGGGGGAGGCTCCGGCTGCCCGGAAGAGCTTGTCACCCAGCTGTGTGTGTGTGGGGGGAGGGCCCCAGGGGGCTGAGACCGGGAAATGGGGGGTACCCGCACATGCAGCCCTGGTCCCGGTGGTGGCTGAGCGACGGCCGGAGTGATGGGTGCAGATAGGGGAGACTCAAGGCTGAGGTGAGACACGGACACCCAGAAATGGGAAGGGGAGCCACACTGAGGCCTGACGGGACCTCCTTCCACCTTCCTTGGGTGAGGGACAGGGGCCGAGTTACTCAGAAGGGCCAACTGGTCAGCTAGTCAGTGTCCAGCCTCGCAAGGCCCTGCCGCTGGTTCCATCATTTATTCCCTCCGTCCCAACCCGCCACTCCCATCCCCTAGGCTGCCAGGCTATGTTTAATGTCTGTTCTTTGCATGTGCTCTTCCAGATGTGTGCTGTGGACCTGAAACACTTCTGTTGATAATACTTTAAGGCTATATATAATTATATCACAAATAAAAATGATTCTCCTCAAGTGTGGTGGAGTTAGGAGGTGGTGGGGGCTTCGTCGGGGGCGGGGTTTTGGGGGACCCTCCCCGAGCGGTGGGGTTGGGAGGGAGTGCCCCTTAAAGGAGGGGTCCTAATTAAAGTGACAGAGTGAAGAGGGCAGGGCACTCCAGGGAAGCAGCCTGGCCCCAGCAAAGGTGTGGAGGTGGGAAGGATGTTCAGACACTGGGTGAGTCCAGGGAGTGGGGCAACTTGGTGCCGGGGGTGGGGGATGCGGTGCTAGTTGGTGGGTGAGGAGATGCAGGGTAGGGGAAGGGAAGGTGGGGAAGCAAGGGGATGGGTGGGGTGAGGCCACCATGCAGTTTGCGGGATGTGAACTGCTTGGTTCAGGGGTCTGGACTTGATGCTGTGGGCACGGCAGTGCCTGTGCGGAAGGGGGGTGTTGAAGAAGCCAGCCCCTGATGCCTGGGTACCCCTGGTCTCTCTCCTTCCAGCACTGGCCACCAAACAGACCTACGTCACCTACACCAACCATGCAATCTAGCTAGGCCACCAGAGCCGAACAAGAGGAGGAGGACCCGAGACCCTTGTGGCTGACGCATCGGGCCAGGGCCACTCCCAGGGGCCCAGCTGATGTCCTGCCTGCCCGTGGGCGCCCACGGACGTGGCTTGGTGCTGAGGACAGCAGAGCCCCCGGCGGTCATTGCTGGGCAGCCTGGGCAAGCCGGGCAGGTGACAGGAGGAGAACAAGGGGCCAGGCCAGCTGCAGGCCACCCCAAGGGCCTGCATCTTGGACCACGGCCCCTCCCAGCCCCAAATGACAGGGGCTCAGGCTGTGTGGGCCCCAGAGCTGGTTTTCTCTCTCCCTTCGTCTCTGCTGTCCCCTTGGTGACTGTCCCAGTCTCTTTCCATCCATGTCTTTATTTTATCACTGCCTTTTCTGCGTCTTCACCTGTCTGAGTGCTCTGCTTTTCCCCATCTTCTTTCTGCCTCTGCCCCCTCTCCCTGGTACATCCTCCATCTCCAGGTCGCTCCAGTTTTTTTCTCTTGTGCTCCACCTGGGTCTCCTGTGCAGTTTTCTTTCCTGTCCTCAGCCCCCTCCTCGCCTTCATTACACCCAGCCTTTGCTTTCTCCCTGCCACTGTCGCCCAATTCACCAAATCTTACGTGTCGCAAAAGAGAGAAAAAGGAAAAAAAAAAAATCAAAACACAAAAAAAGCCAAAACAAAAACAAATCTTGAGTGTGTTGCAAAGTGCTGCGTCCTCCTGGTGGCCTCTGTGTGTGTCCCTGTGGCCCGCAGCCCGCCTGCCCGCCCCCTGCCCGTCTGCCGCGTGTCCTGCCCGCCTGCCCCCGCCTGCCCCTCCTGCCGATGACACGGAGTTCAGTGCCTGGGTGTTTGGTGATGGTTATTGATGACAATGTGTAGCGCATGATTGTTTTTATACCAAGAACATTTCTAATAAAAATAAACACATGGTTTTGCACCCTGCCTCCACATCCACTGAGGGTCCTGCAGGGGGACCCCTGTCTCAACCAGCAGCAGGAGAGCCTGGAATTAGAGACAAGGAGAAAGTGGGTGATGATGGAGACCTAGGGCTTCAGGGCGGTGGAGGCTGCCCCCGGGGTTGGTATGGAAGTGGGAGCACGGAGAGGCCCTGGGCAGCGAGGGACCAGGACTTTGCAGCAGATTCCAGAAATCAGCCCCTGGGGGTCCCCTGAGGAAGGGGGATGTTCTATTCCTGTCCCCTGCCCTGCAGCCCCTACGGCAGGTACCATTTCTGCCCTGTCTCTCCCCTGACTCCCATTCCTCACACCTGAGACTCCGACCCCACCCCATAACTGGAGCCTCTCCTTCTCTGTCCAGCCTGAAACCTCTCCTCTTGAAAGATTGGCTTCCAGGGCTCCCAGCACCCACAGCTCTCCCCTCCTGCCCGGCCTGTCTCCAGGTTGCAGGTGCTAGGATGATGTGTGTCTGTCCTGGAGACTGGAGTGTGGCGTGTGTCCGTGTGAGCCAGGTGCGCGACACAGGTGTGTGTGTGGCTCCTGCAGCCCTGCGTGTGTGTCTGTTTTGGCTGCGTGTCTGTGTGCGCTCCTGGCGCCTCCATAGGCATGCGTGTCTGTGTAGTGTGTGTCTGTTTAGGCCCAGGTTGGGCGGGGAGTCCACAGAGCACCCACCGTGAGGATGCCAGCCACTGGCCGGCAGCAAGTGTGCAAGTGGTGTCCACAGCCGCTGGCTTCCTTGGCAGCTTGGGAGGTGGGGAGCAGGAAGCAGTTTAGGGGTTGGGCCCCGCCAGGGGTGAATTACAGAGCCGGGGACACAATGAGGCCACAGGCCGCAGCAGCAGCCCAGGCTTCCTGGCCCCGCCCCCAGGCCCCCTTCCCCCTCCCTGGCCAGCGGGTGGGTGGGAGCCAGTCTGGGACTGGGTGTGTGTGTGGGGGGGGGG